GTTCTTTTTCCCCTTTCTCTTCTTTTTCAAAAGGTGGCTGATGTGTTCTATTCCAAATTTAAAGACATTGTTGTCTTTAAACTGTGTGCATGCGTGTTGCCATTCTATCCTTCTTTGTTATTATCTTTTTTTTTTTTGTCTGAAATTCTTCTTTGTTATTATCTTACCAAGTTTTAATTCTTGCATTATACTTCTTTAATGTTCCTGCAGCTCAGTTGGTCTTTTATAAGGGAGAAAATAAAGTCATGTGCATACCTGTTGTGGTGGCTGTAAGTTTAAATCTTCTGAAGTTGCTATTTTTGCTGTTTTGTTTGTGATTCCTTGTAACGAAGAACTTATAAAACCAGTCCTCTCATTGCTATGCATGATTGCTTAGTCTTGTTTGGTAATCTTTGTGTTTCATTTTTGCAGGTCGCATCTCCTTTCCCTCCTTCTGATAAGATAGGGATTAACTCAGTCCAAAGAGAGGCTGAAGAAATAGTTCCCATGAAGAGAATGAAAATGGATTGGATACCTTACATACCACTTGAGAAGAGGTATCCAACTATTTGGTGATTATTATATTGATTTTTAACAGATTTCAAGCAATGTGTAACTCTGATATTTTTAGTTTCTAACTGAAAATTCTTTTATTTCACCACTTGTGGGATTTGGTTCTTCTGCAGAGGCAGCCAAGTCGATAGATTGAAATCACAGATATTCATTTTGGGCTGTACTCAGAGAAGGTACAGTTGCATTCACTTTTTCTCACTGTTTCTCACATTAGAAGGTAGCAATCTTGTTGATATATTACCACAGGACACATCAGTTAATCTATTACAATAGCAACGCAAGATGCATGTCTATTTACTTTGAAGGAAAAGTATGTTGGTAGCTTTGCTGGAAAGTGAGTCTATTAATTATTTTTGGCTTTGTATGCATGTTTTCATGCATTTCATCATGCAGTTTACCAAACTTATACATAGTTTTGACTGTCACAAATAACTGCCACAATGAAAGTTTTCCTTTCCTGATTTCATTTCCAATTCCTAGACATGGTTTCTTGCATGTTTAAAAGTTTCTGGATTTGGATTATTCCTGCAGGGCTTCTTTGAAAAATATGAAGTTCGACCATATGAAGAAATTTGAATATTGCTTGCCTTGTAAGTTTATGTCTACCTTTTGGCATTATATACTTTTTTTTTATATATACCTAACCTTTGTATTTTGAACTTCTGGGTTACTGAGTTATGTTATGAGAATATTCTGTCAAATATTGCCAAAATAATTGTATAGGGGTACATTTGTTTGACTCGACCAAACTCTGTTATTCGGTCACTGAATCAGGAGTCAGCACGTCTAATATGTTTCCAATTCTCCTGTCATGTAATTGTTGATACATGTAGAACTAACTGGTCATGTTACATGTACTACAGATTTCTATCATCCGTTTAAGGAAGATGAAATTGAACAAAGCACTGAGGTTCAAATAATTTTTCCTGCAGAACCAAAGCCGGTAAGGTTATACTGATTCTATGAGATAGTGTTAGACTTTGGATCATTTCGAATGATTGGTTTCTATTGAACGGTGTCTAGTTGTTAGCCTGTCGAATTCATTGGAGTTATACAATCCAACTTATTTGTGATTTGCTAAGGAAGAAGATTTACATGATTGAGACCTACATGCAATCTTTTTTAAACTGACTTTTATTTGATTCTGCAGGTTTTCTGTGAATTTGATTGGGAATTAGATGAACTTGAGGTATCTAATCAATATTTTCTTGCTTATACCTTTAGTTTGTAAAATATATTGCTTTTGTCTTGCAAAACTGGATATTATTCTGTGAGCATTTTAGGCCAAGAAGCTTTTTGTTAACCATGTAGCTGTTGAATTTTCATACTAAGTGTCTTTTTCTTATAAATTGCATATTTTCTTGCACTAAGTACACCTACCAATTTATAGGAGTTTACTGACAATCTGATCAAGGATGAGGCATTAGCTGAAGACCAAAAGGATGCCTTTAAGGTAAATTTGATTGTTGTGGTGCAAGTTCATCATGGGTTTGTGCATATCTAATCTGCTGTGGTTTTTCAGGAGTTTGTTAAGGAGAAAGTACGGGAAGCAAAGAAAGCTAATCGGCAGGTTTCTTTTGACACGCACGTTATATCTCTCTGTGTTTATGTAATTATGTGGATTCAAAAATTTTATATTAATCAAAATGTTTTACTAATTTCCTTCCTTTTAGGCAAAGGAAGCCCGGAAGAAAGCTATTGAGGAAATGAGCCAGGAGACTAAACAGGCATTTGAAAACATGAGGTTCTACAAGTTCTATCCCGTGCAGACACCTGATTCACCTGATATATCAAATGTTAAGGTAAAGCTCTTGAACAGCATTGTCCGCATGTCTCTTTAGTTTGCAACTTAAATTTATTGAGACAATTTGGGCAGATTAAGATAAATTCATTTTGCGTATGATGGGATTTTTCTGTGGGGTTATAAATTTTATGCTGACAAAGTTTGTTAGGCTGACAGAACTAGTTTTTGTTGCTTAATATGGTGAAGTGAGAAGGGGGTTTTTTCGGCCATTTCCAGATGTCTTGGGGAAATGGAGCCTACATGTTATCCTGATGAAATTTTTGTTTTAAGGCAAAATCATTTTTTTTATCTGATTATTTGAAAGATTTTCTTTAATATGTCAGGCTTAGGTACACGAGCAAACTAGTTTTTATAGCTTAATATGGTGCAGTGAGAAGGGGATTCTTTTGGCCATTTCCATATGTTGTGTGGAACTCGAGTCTAGATGTTATCTCGATGGAATATTTGTTTTAAGCCTAAAATCATTTCTTTTGATCTGATTGTTTGAAAGATTTTCTTTGATATGTCGGGCTTAGGTGCACAAGAGCAAACTAGCTTAATATGGTGAAGTGAGAAAGGGGATACTTTTGGCCATTCCCAGATATGGTGTGGAACTGGGGTCTGTGTTATCTTGATGAAATTTTTGTTTTAGGGCATAATCATTTCTTTTGATCTGATTGTTTGAAAGATTTTCTTTTATATGCTGGGCTTAGATACACAATAGCAAACTAGTTTTTATTGCTTAATATGGTGAAGTGAGAAGGCGATTTTTTTGGCCATTTCCAGATATGGTGGGGAACTGGAGTCTACATGTTATCTTGAAATTTTTGTTTGAGGCAAAATCATCTCTTTTGTCTGATTGTTTGAAAGACTTTTCTTTAACATATCAGCTTAGGTACACCAGAGCATGTATGTGATAGAAAAATTTGTGTTGTAATGGATATATGTTGACATAATTCCCCATTCCCGTTTTCTTTTTTAGTAATTTAAAGAAAACTCAAAGCGGCCAATAAAATTTTTTGGGACATTAATGGTATGCCGCTAATATTATAAGGGGTATTGCATCTGCTTAATTTCTTGTCCAAGGTGATCAGTGTAAGTAAACATGTGATATATATGTGACGTATCGAGTGGAGAGGGTCTAATGTAACAGTTCTGGGATTTCTCCTTCTTCCTTTTGTACTTCCAGGATAAACTTGTCGTATAACATGTTAAGAGTAACACCAAGCATACTTTTTATTTTTGAGATGGAACACTTTCCCATATTTTGATTATCGGCAAAAAACAAAAAGTAAAACCCTTCACTTGTGTATGCCAATATCATTTCTTTTGGTATACTTGGATGCTATAATCCGAGTTTCTCATTCTTGTTGTTTGTTGTATTTCATTTTATTAATTGGGGTTTACAGAGTGAAAATTACTTATTGAATCCATTTAATTTCTTATCCATTCAGATGTGGATTAGTCATATGAAATTTAGTATTGACAGCTACATGGGCATACAGGTCTAGTTCCTTCCTGGGGAAGCTAGGGTCTACTTCAGAAGAGTAAAGCGTGCATATTAGACAGCATATTCTCTTGTGCAAATGATTTGGCATCATTACTTTTGTTAGTAACTTAAATAAGACATTGCTCTCGTTATGTGTCATATCATGATTAAAGAAGTTCTAAAAAAAAAAAAAAAAAGAAAAGAAATTTCCTGTAGAATGGCACTGCTGTTGTCATATACACGGAAGGAATCATAACTTCTCTTTTCTGTTTGCTTATTGAATGTTACACCTCTTTATGTTGATTTTACCTTGCAGGTACCATTCATAAACAGGTATTACGGAAAGGCTCATGAAGTGCTATAATCATGCTGATGAAAATCTGATATGGCTGGATATCTATTAGCCAGACTGCTTGCTTGACTGCCAAACCATTAGCAGGTGGCTAAATATGTTCTTTTTTAAGTCGAGGAGGCATACACTTGGTGCCCAATCGGATGATCCTTGATCGGCTAGTTGTATCTGGAGAAAAATATTAACTTGTAGTTTCAAAATTGGTAGATGAAAAAGATCAGGTACTCAATTACAATAGGAGAAATTGTAAGATACATTCTTAAGATTCTTTTATTTTTCCAACAATTTCTTGAGCTCCAGGTACAAGAGCTTATCCCTGGTTTTTGGTAGGCCTCTGGTAATGTTTGTTCTAATGTTCTAATACCAGTCATGTACGACGGCAACTTCAACATACATGATAAAACTAAGCTACAATTTTGGAGGCAAACCATTGGCACTAATCCGATGGACACAACTCATACAAAATATGATATACGTGCAAGCAATATTGAAACAGCACCACAGGTAATATTATCGAAATTGGATGTTTTGGATTGCCCATAATACATAAATTCATGACATGGAGAGTTGAATTGGATGGCAATTTGGAGTTTATAATAAAATTTTAAAATTGGATTTTTTTTTTTTATATAAACAATTTCAAAAGCTTTAAAATATTTAATATGATGAGGTTATTTATTAAGAATAAAGCTGTCCTTTAGTATTTATCTATTTACAGGATACCTTTGCCTGTGCACAAAATCATATGATTCTAAATGGTATGAAAAGTGAACAACACACTCCCTGTTTAATCTTTTAAACTTATCTCTCAATGTTTATTTACATTTTAGTTTTTAATATTTTTATATAATTTGATACTTGATATTTTATATTTATTTTAAAATTTCAATTTTTATATATTTTTCACAAAAAAATTAAAAATAATTAGAATATATTTCACTGTTTTGAAAAACAATTTAATTTTAATTTTAAAATAATTGAAATAAAATAAAAAAAAAGAAAGAAAAAAAACCTTGTAGAAGCAGCTTAAGCTCTTCAACAATAACCTCTCCATTTCTTCTTCTTCTTTTTCATTTAATAACAATAATAATAATAAATTAATTAAGTAAAATTACTAATAATTTAATTTAATTACCTTCTTCTTCCATTTGACTCTTCTCCCTTTCTTCTTCAACCTCTTTCTACGAGCTACTAGCAATAATAGACAAATACACATACATAAATAAGCACACAACCTATAGGCAAATAAATGTGCATATATAATCCAATATCAACTAAACACACACAACATGAGTATTTGGCTTAATAAGAGATTTAGAAAAATTTTGGAATTGAAATGGAATTTTTGTATACTTCCTATAATTTTCTATATTTGAAAGCTTGTTTAAGTAAATAACAAATTTAATGAAAATTTTATTTTTTATAAAAAATATTACATAATTATTTAAAATATTCAAAAATTAAAAATTAAATCTCAAACTAAATAATAAGGATTTAGTTTATAAACAGATTTAGAAATGTAAGACATGATTTTTATGCCATCATGCGCGGAAGGGTCGTGTTCTTGCATTGCCATATGCATTTGACTCCACTTTCCTCTATGTGTGCATTTGCGTACATTGCCTCACTTGGCTTTGTTCAGCACCAATTTTCGACCATGTGTTTTGTCTTTGTTTTTAGATTCTAACGATTGATGTTATTTTTAAGTTTTTAATTATTTTATGTTTGAACTTTAGTAAATAAATAGTGAAAAATAAGATTAAATCTCTCATTATTTGTTTCGTAACTTTATATTTTTAATTTTGATTTTATAAGATTTGAACATCATAATTCTTTTACAAATTTTTTATTTAGATGATCCTGTACCGATTAAAAAAAATTGAAAAACATTCTCTATATACACAAATTTCATTACATTTCGTTTAATTTATAAATATTGATTATAAGGTTTAACCATTTAAATTTTTAGATTTTAAAATTTGTATTCAAAATTTTTGAGTACCATTTTATAAACATGGTAAACTTTTTCTTATAATCTTTAAAATTTTTGTACTTCAAATTTTTTGGGTAACGTTTTTTAAACATAATCACTTTTTCTATAGATTACAAGTACGGGTACCATCTTCTAAATATAGTAACTTTTTTTTTTAGTCTTTCAAATTTTGGTATTCAAGTTTTTTGGATACCATCTTTTAAGCGTAGTAATTTTTTTATAGACTATAAGTATGGTTATGTGTGATTTTGATAGTTATGGGGTAGATTTATTTAGGTTTTCATGGTCATATGTCATTTGGTTCATCATAAGCATCCAGGCCATGATCCACTTCATATACCAATAAGAGAGGCACATAGCAAAGTAGAAGATTGACTTTGACACTTTGAAGACCCGTGTTGAATGCCCAAGAGAAGGAGAAACAGGAAATTTTAATTTTTTTATTCGATTTTATGCCAAAGGATTTTTGATCTTTTAATATTTGAAAGAACCTCCGTAAGATTTAAAAAATATTTATTCAAAAAGTTCAAAGCTTTTACAGGTTTTCTTTTTAACTCCTTCTGTATCCTTAAGATGCATGGTATTAACAAATTGAAAATTTTGTTGGAAATTTTTAACCCTTTTTGTGTTGACAATATTTAAACATGAATTCTTTTAGACACATATTATGCAAAACCCCAGCCTCAAATCTGTAAAATGTTTTGTTTAAGGGTTAGTAAGATCTTTTGACCTTTTGAATATCTTTTAACTTATAGCATTATAACAAGATTTTGAAGAAAAATTAAATTTTTTTTTTTTTTTTTTTTTTTTTTTTTATGTGATTATTCTTTTGAAACCAATTGCAAAAAAAACTTAAAATTCTTCTCGAACCGGTCGAAAAATGTTTTTTCAGAGAGAGATTATAAATAATATTTTTTTTTTTTTTCAAAATTTGGAACATAATTGGGGTGATCTCTTAAATATGTATTTGGGTGAAGGAAGAAAAAAAAAAACATTTTATGATGAACTAGATGAAGTACCTTCAAGAAAAAAACATAGGTAGAAATTTTTGATCAAGCCTTTGCAAAATAACATTTACAATTCTTATTTTTATTCTATTTAATTCTTACTTTTATGTTTAAATTTAATATTTTGAAATTATATAATCAATGTTCCATTTTATTTAAAAATTTTAAAATCCAATTCAATTATCGCAGCCTTTTGCACTATCAATGTGAAATATTCCAGAGATTAGTGTTTTCTTTTTCTTCTCTGCCTAGTAGCTAAAGCATGAAAACCATCCAGGCTCAAGCAAACACTCAAAAGTTCATTTTTTTTTTCCAAAATTTCATTCAATCATTCATCAAGCACGTTACTTGCAGCTGAAGAAGCTTATGTTACCAGCAGCATCATAACTCCTGTCTTCACTTCTAAGTTTCTCTAAGCAGCCTTCTCCTCAATGACAATGCCTCTCAAGGCTTTCCTTCAACAACTCAGTTTTATTCTTTCAGCGGCATCACGATCCTAATGAGTCAAGATATTACCTCGAAAGAAAGATCATGTAAAGGGAACAGCTTTATGACTAAAACGCAAACCAGCCATACAAGCTGCAATACTGTTTATTAATCCAGCACTTTTATTAGTTTCTCTAAAATTCGAGGACAGAACTGACTTCTATAAGTTACATTTTCTAATGGTTAAACATAATACAACACATTGACAACAAAATACAGACTTAATACTTGGTCAAACCCTAACCCGCCATAACAAAGTCAATATGGCGAACACTGATACAGATGTCTGAAATCAATAAAACCAGCCAAACCCCAAGTCCTTAAAGTTGCCAAGTTTTTACAGTTAGGCTTAAATGACATGTAGTCCACTCTAATCAAACTCATTTTTTTTTTTTTGAGATTGAGTAAGGTAAGACTTGAACTCGGTCGTCAGCTTTGAAATAGAATTATCAAGCCTTCTATTAAAGATATCATCTGATAATATTACAGAGGAGCTCGCGTTGGCACTCTAAAACATCAGGTTTCAATAATCACCATTACTTGAGAAAAAAATCCAACATGAGCTCTGAAAAGTGGTCTTTCCACTCACCCAAGCCTGCGAAAGGCATAAGGCCGCAGAGAATTGGCAGAATCAAAGGCACAATAGCATAGAAGAGAACTTGTCGAACGGAGTATGGAATCATTGGATTTCTTTTCGCCCTTTGATCAACAGTGACTGGTCCATACAGGAGAAGAAACAATGCCGAAATATAGACATTTGAAAAGAAATGCAGCAAGCACAAAGCCTCCCAATGCAGGAGCCAATGATATCCACTACCTCCCAGTGCATCCACACAAAACTTGCCTGCAAAACCACAGAATGTTCCTAATAACAGAAGAATGAAAGTAACTGGCATTGCTTGTTTTGAGGCTGCTGAACGCTGGAGAAGCAAATATCCAATTGCAATGATCATGAAGATGCCAAACAACATTCGGCTCACAACCTGAGCTTGACACTTAAGAATGCTTATCCCAGAATTGAAAGATGCCATGGGCTTTGGAAGCCACCAAGATTTGGACTCCTGAAAAAAGATAAAGCATCATAAATATTACCCGACTTAAAAATGCTTAAGGAAAGAAACAAGATATCAATCATCATACAGAGTTACTTAGCATTTGATTTAATCTTACTAGAATACAAATAGAAATTCGGGTCATTTTTCACAAGCTAATGGCTTTTAGGATGATCAGTCAGCTACTTGTGTTAAAATTTTGCCATGAGCAAGATGCAACTGGTCAGGTCTATAGGTTGAAAATAAGCATCAGCTTCAAGTAGATCTGGCTAGCAATTCAGGGTATGGCAGCCATAAGCAGAGACATGAGCCGTTCACCACATTTATATTACTGTTGACACGATGACTTTTTGGCAATTTTCTTAATTCACCGAATACTTTTATGATCTGGTGGCCTCTTGAATTCAATGTTTATGTCTTCTTTTTTTTTTTTTTTTCAAATTCAAATTAGTTTGAAGTGTTTTAGTGAATTTGGTAATTGTTTGATCTTTTAGGCAATAGGTACATCCAGTTTGCTGGGTGGATAACATGTATTGTTGTAACTGGGAAGAGCATAACAGTTGAGATTCAATGTTTGAGAAGCTAAAAAGATCATTTTCATGTCTGGCACTGAAGGACAAAGAGAATTTTGATGATTATCGCATTTGATTAAAGGAAGATTTGTTTGAAGTTCCTATTTGGATTAGGATTTTTGGCAATATTCATAATTCACCAAAGACTTTTATGATTTGTTGGCCGCTTCAATTCAATTTTTGTCTATTTTCTCAAATTCAAGTTAGCTTGAAGTGTTAGTGAATTTGGTAATTGTTGGATCTTTTAGGCGATAGGTAGATCTATTTTGCTATGTGGATTACTTGTAGTGTTGTAGTGGAGAACAGCATAACATTCAAGATTTCAATGTTTAAAAGCTAAAAAGGTTGATTTCATGTCTGGCATTAAAGGACAAAGACTTTGATGATTATGACATTTGACTAAAGGGGGGATTTGTCGAGATTTGTTTCAAATTCGTATTTGGTTTAGGATTCTTGATTAAATATTTCCCATTTAGGGCTGACTTGACAGGTATCAGTTGTCTACAAATAGGATTCAACTGAAGAGGTCTGTTGGCTTTGGGCTAAAGGTTATGGAGTACCTTTACTTGGTGAGAGTATAAGTCAATGAGAGATCCTTTGTGTCTAAGGAATCAAGAGGTTTAAGAAGTTTCAGAGGTTGCATGTTTTCTAACTTTATTGATTAATTACTACGATATACTGATTCTAGTGGATGTTTGTTGAGAGATTGACTATATTATTTTGTCTTGTTACTCATTGGTCTATCATGCAACTTCCGACTGAACTTGTAAAGATCTG